TTCAAGCGGTTGGGCAGGGCTTCCTTGCGACCGCTGTTCGCGCAGCATCATGGCCGCGGATCTCGCCTCAACACTCTGCTGCGCATAGCGTTAGAGTGGCGGCGCGAAGCGTTGGGAGCGGGCGTTCACGAAGCGGCGGAGTGGACAGCTCGCCCTCTGGACGCGGGTCATCTGTTTGCCGACGCACGAAGCACCCCGCCGCGCGCGGCGGCCGCGCTGTTCACGCATGAACGCGCGCGGCACACAGATTGGGCGCTGGGCGCCGCGGCGTTGCGGCCTCTCGGGCAGCGCGGCTACAATCAGATTATGAGCTTGGAACTACTGGCCATCACTGTGGCCATGTCGACTTTCGGGATCTTATGTCGAACGCGGCGCTTGAAATTTTCTCGGACAACCGTGGGGCGGAGCAAGCTATGGCGAGAGGCTCCGCGCGCCATTTTGACCACACCTGCCTTGTGCGCGGAGCGCGGGCCCCGGCGGCCCAACTCTCGGCATCCGCGCGTGTCCGTCGGGTGCCCTCGGCCGCGAATATCGCGGACCCGCCGCCCCGGGAAGATCACGGACTGGCGCGTCGTTTGAACGCGATTTATTCAGAACCGACGTTGGAAAAATCGATTCTACGCCCCTCAGCAGTGGGCCTCGCTCGCAAGGACCCGCTGAGCGCCGATGCCTGTGTCGGTTGGGTGGTTCGGCGGCTCGCGAAGCGTTTGCTTTCCCGCGCAAGCCCCGCTGCGCGCGGCCGCGGAGAGACGCGCGGGGAGATGTCGGACGCGACGGTCTTCGCCCAATGGCTTGGTGCGTGCGATTTGCGGCGTCAGACAGGCTTGTCGCGCACGTCTGGTCGCAGGATGCGTTGCACTGGAAGCATCTGGCAGACGACGATGCCGATTTCAGTCGGCCTTACCACCACGCAGCAGCGAAGTCGCGACGAGGCGGCACGCCCGCGGGCCGCTAGACGCCGCGCGCGGTGGCCGCGCGCAGGGCCATCAATGAAGCAAAATTACAGAGGGGCATGCCGGCCCCCGAGGGTTTCTCCATCGGTCGGTGCAAGCGTTGCAATAAAGCAAAAGCAGCACCGCCCGAGCGCCCCCTGGCCGCTGGAGCCCCAGCGGCGCATGTTGAGAGGCAGGATCGCCCGGGGCCGCGCCCCCCCCCCCCGGCCCTCCGCCCGCTGGCTTCGGCGCGAGCGTCGCAGTGCGCCCACGGCCTCCGCTGGGGCCGCCACCAGACTGGCGGCCGAGGCCAGGGGGCGCGGCCGGGGCGGCGGCGCCGGAGCAACTGCGCGCAACGTTGCGCCCTGGCGACACACACAGCGATCCTGCGGCGGGCTCGCGAGCGCGTGGCGCGGTCGAGGCCGTCGTCAACTATGCTGCGTCGTACGCAAACCAATTGGCCGCGCCCAGCGAAGGGCCTCGGCGCGCCCTCGACGGCGCCGCGGCAATGAGCGCGCCTGAACGCAGGCGCTTCGCCAAGAGGGCGCGCCTGGACGCGGCGCTTGGCAGTTGTCCTCGGTCAGCGCAGCGCCGGGCATTCGCAGCGCGTCGGTGGCCACGCTTCTCGCGCGCCCTTGTGCGGGAGCCCCCGCCCCCCATCAGCGCGGAGGACCTCCGAACCGCCAGTGCGCCGTTCCGCGCGAGCGGCGCGTTCGCAAACTGCGGGCACTGGCGCACGGCATCCAAGCTGTCGTCGGCGTCGACGGCCGCCTTCGGCGATCGATCCGCGAAGCGCGCGCGATTGGCCATCGCGAAGAGGTGCCCGGCGAACCCGAGAGCCCAGCGTTTCGCACAGCACGCCCACCTTTCCAGAGTCGTCGAAGCGAGCATCTCGGGCCCGGTGGCCGCATCAGTCAGAAGGGGCGCGGCAATTCTCATGCGTTTCGGGCATGCGTTTCTGTTGCGCCTACCAAGTGAGGGCTTGGCCGCTGTCTTCGATGGCTCGGCATTCAACGAGCGGCACTGGGCATCGGCGCGCCACTCGGAAGAGGAGCTGGGTTTTCGTGTGCAGCGGCGGAATGACCTGTCACAATTTGGCGCGAGTGTCGGCGCCGCACTGAGGGCGGCAAAGGCACGCGCCCAGCGCGCGTCCTCGGCGCATTCTTCGAGACAGCTGGCGCGAGCACGCAAGCCTTCGCGAGCTTCTTTCCCGCTGACGCCGCGGCCGCCAACCGGGCCGCGGCTAGGGCGGCGGGCGTTGCGCGCCCAGAGGAATTCGACGCAAAGGCGCCACGTCGCGGGCACGGGCTCGACTCAGTTGAGCGCGGGGCCGGACTGGTCGAAGCACTTCGCGCGAGCGGCTGGCGGAGCGCGGCCTTCATAGAGCATCTGCCAGTTGAGTCGCTCGAGCGGGACGCCACTCTCGAGGCCAGAGACAATTGCTCTTCCGACATCGATGCGCGAGAAAAAATGCCTGCGCCCCATGCCAGGTGGAGCGCGAGCGCTCGCGATCCGGCGGCGCACGGCGCATTGGGCCTGCGCCCGCGCGCACGCGACGCGCGCGGCTGGGCCCCCGCCGAGCGCCCAGCGCCCCACGACAGCGGGCGCTCGCACTGGGCGCTCGGCTAGGCCAACGACGCAGGCCGTGCCCGAGCCACCGTCGGCTCGGGGCACCGCTGCGCGCGGCCATGGTCGAGCGCCGCACCCATCGTCGCGGTGCGACTCGCCGAGCCGCTTGGCGTCCGCGCCAAGGTCTCGCGGTGGGCGATCGCCATGCAAAGCTGATCGCGGGCGCGAAACAGCGGGGCGGGCGCCCCCCGCCCCGGCCGCCATGCATGCGCGAAAGGGAAGGGGGGGCGCCGCGCGGCGCGCAGCGGCGCGGGGCGACGCAAGCCCAAGCGACGGGCGCGAGGCGTCGCGCAATCCGCCCCGCTCGCATGGGCGAGCGCGCGAGGGGGCGCGCGCTCCGCCCACGGTTGGGAGGGGCGCCACGCGCGCTCGGCTGGGGGGGGCGCCCCGCCACGTTCGGCGAGGGGGCACCTGCGGTGCGGCTTTGCCCGCCCACCGCTGCCCCGGCGGCCATTCGTCTCGGGGCGTTCGCAACTGGCGCCCGGCTAGGCCGGCGACGCAGGCTGCGCCCGATCCACCGTCGGCTCGGTGCACCGCTGCGCGCGGCCATGGTCAAGCGCCACACCCATCGTCGCGGTGCGACTCGCCGAGCCGTCTGGCGCCCGCGCCAAGGTTTTGCGATTGTTATCATTCGTAGTCTTCTTTTTCTGATTCGTATTCTTACGCTACTTCTGATTCGAATTCGCAATCCTCTTCTTACTATTGTTATTATTAATCATAATTTTGCGTGTTTCGAGTTTCCTTCTACAACTGATAGTGTTGTTTTAGTGCGCAGTATTCATATTCTTCGAATTTGCACTAGTCTCACTCTTAGTCGTATGAGTATGGTGTGTTTCGTCTTATTATTAAGAATAGCAATAGCATTCACAGTATTAACATTACCACTATGCTTAAATGTGTTGTTTCTTCTTCTTCTGAATCCCATAATCCGTCTTCGTAGCATTACTACTTTTAGTACTCATCTGATTAGTTGGATGAATAGTAAGAGTATACTTCTTCTTCTGCATTACCACCATCCTCCTCATCATCGACATCGCCACCATCACTACCATTAGCACCATTATCAGAATCCGCATCATCATCGTCGTCATAATCTCCGTCCGCAGCATCACCGTCAGAATCACAAGAATGATCAGCACCGTCACCACCCCCATCATCAGCATCATCAGCGCCATCACCATCATCATCGGCATCACCATCAATAGCGCCATCATCAGCATCATCGGCATCGTCGCCATCATCCTCACCCTCATCATCAGCCGTATGATCACCATCACGATCAGCATCAGCAGCATCATCATCGTCGTCAATATCAGCGCCATCATCATCCGCATCAGCAGCATCATCAACATCGGCATCATCATAACCCTCGTCGTCGTCTTCACCATCACATGCATCATCACCAGAATCAGCGCCACCGCCATCACCTTGATCATCATCATCAGATTCATCATCATCGCCCTCCAACATCAACGCCACCAGGCTGCGCATTAGCGGCATCGCAGTGGCCATGGCCTCCGCGCCGGCGTCGCCCAGGTTGCTCTCGCGGAGATGCAGTTCCCCCAGGTTGCGCGAGAGCCTCTGCGCCAGTGCTGCCCGCGCTGTCGCCCCCGAGCCAGAGCTCCCCCAGGTTGGTCATACGCGGCGGCGCCTTCGCGAGAGCCTCTGCAGCGACGCTGCCCGCGCTGTCGAAGCGGAGGCCCAGCTACCCCAGGCCGGGCACATGCAGCAGCACCTTCGCGAGAGCCCCCGCGCCAAAGCCACCCAGGTTGTCGTCGAGATCCAGGCGCCGCAGCCTGCCATCGGCGGCGGCGCCGTCGCGATCTGCGCCAGCGCCGCCGATGCTGCCCACGTCGTCGCCGTCGAAGTCAAGCTTCTCCACGCGGCGCAACAGCGGGGGCATGTCTCACAGGGCTTCGACACCCTCGAAGCTCAAGCCCGCGCTGTCAAAGTCCATCTCAACCAGCGGGCTCTCGCCTGGCCCCCCGCGCAATGCCTGGCGGAACGCGTCGCCGCTGCCCAAGACGTTCTCGACCGCCTCGGTCTCCTCTAATCTCGACTCCTTGAGGCGGTTGAAGGCCTCCTGGGAAGCCGAGGCCCACTCCTCTGCTTTCGGCTTTGCGGCCTTGAATTTCCTCTCCTGCCCGACATTGAACCCCGTCTCTCCCTGGTCTTCATCGCCCAAGGGAAGCAGCATATGTACCGCGTCGACTCTGTTCGCCACAACCCAACTCCATCCATCCAATTGCGCACATAAACCGCGACGACCGTCTTGCCGTGCTCGCCGCCCTCCTTTAAGATCGCGTCGACCACGTTGATCAGCATTCTCTTCGCAACATCGCAATAGCTTACGGACCAGTCGGAAACTCTGGCCACCTGCTCGAAAACGCCGCTCGCGAACTTCCACTTGCCCTCGGGGACGAAGTTCTCCCCTGAAAGTCATTGCGGCTCCCGTGCCCAGAACACGTCGTTGCCGTCCTTGTTTCCCGTCGTCCACGCAGGCTTGCAGATACTATCCCAGGCGACCTCGCCCTTCGCGTACACCGCCTGGACTGCGACGCCAGCGTGCAACGCGCCCGACATCCTGTTGCAGCACCACTTGCCCGGCAATTCGTCACCGCAAGACGCCAGCATCACCTTCGCGGTGCTCGCCGCCCTCACGCACTCCTCGGTACTCTCGCCTGGAATGCTCCTTCTGTTTATATATATACACATATATATATGTATGTATGTACCCCTTGTCGGTGAATATCGTACACCGGTTGCACGCAAGGCTCTGCCTCGTATTCGGTTGACTTCTTCGCATGACGCGGCCATTGCTCAGCGGAACGAGATTACCGTACCAGCGCTTTACCGCGTAAGGTTCCTCGACCCAAAACGGCTACGATTCGGTCGGGCGTGTCCCCCTACAGGCGGTTTTTGGACGAACACTACAAGTACCCAAAAAATAAACCAACAATACCCAACAATGGTCAAAAAATCGCCCCCATACTAATATTTAAATATGTTTGGGCATTCCCCCTGTAAGGGGACAGGCCCGATTTAAGGCTACGAATTCCGAGCATCTGGGTTCTTGGGATGCCTCCTTCGCGGCCCTGCTCGAGACCCGCGCATGGGGCACGTGCACCTCGTGGCGTTCACCAACGGCCCTGCGGTCGCCTGCTGACGGGCGAAAGATGGCTGCCAGCTCGGCGATGAGCGCGGGTTTCCTGGTCTCGCGCGCCTCCCGAGAGCGCCCCGAGATCTTCCGATGAGGAGGAAGAGGAGGTTCCTGGAGGAGGTTCCTGGCCTCGCGTACCTCCCGAGAGCGCCCCAGAAGCTTCCCAGGAGGTGGGCCAGGAGAGCCGCTCCCCGCCCGCACGCCCCGAAACGTGCACCCGCGGTGCGGCGTCCCCCCCGTTCCCGTGGGCGGCCCCTGCCGGGAGGCCCTGCAAGCGGCTATACGCTATAAGCGGGCTGCGCCCGCCAACCCCCCCCCCCGCGCCCTCTCCTTTCCCAGGAGGGCCAGGGTGAAGGGGCCCTGGGACACACAAATAAATACACACAACGAACAGGATTCCCCATATTTGTCCATATGTTTTGGATTTCCGTCTTCCCCCCCCCCACTTCCCATATTTCCCATCTTTTCCTGGGGATCGACGATTAATTGTGTCTGTGTGTTTTTCTCCCTCCTGACAGGGGCCACCACAACCGACGTCGCGCTTTGTTTACGGCGTGGCCCCTCGGAAGCCAGGGCCCACTCCCTGGGACGGGCTGGTCACCCTGAACCGTCCGGGGCCCGGCAGGGGGGGCCCAGGGTCCGAAGATTGCAACGCGCATACGCACAACACACAACAAACACGGCAGCAGCAACAACAGCAACAACAAGAACAAGAACAGCAACAACAGCAACAACAACAGCAGCAACAACAACAACAATAATAATTTGAAGACTGTTCGCCCTTATATGCTCGAGTGTCCAATAACGGCTATTTCCCAAACCCTCGATACCCGCCCTCTTCGTCTTCGATCGAACCCCTTTTGGGGGGTATACCTTTCTTCCCTACACGCCGGGCCCCGGCAAGCGGCGGGGCGGCCGCGGACCGTCGGCCTGGCCAGCGGCAGCGCTGATCGGCGGGGCGGCCGCGGACCGTCGACCCGACCCCAAGAGGGACGGACAGGGGACCGACCACGACGACGACGACGACGACGACGACGACGACGACGACGTCGACGACGACGAGCGAAAGCGAGAGCGAGAGAGAACGACAGCAGGGCCACGAAGGGCACGAAGTAGGCCACGAAGGGCGACAGCGGGGACACGAAGGGAATGCGTATGGGGCCACGAAGAGCGCGAACGAGCGGGGGCCACGAAGTGCAGATAATGCGGGGCCACAGAAGGCAACTATGGGGCCACTGAGGGTAGCAACTGGGCCACGTAGGACAGTGAGGGGGACACAAATGGCGACAGCGGGGCCACGAAGGGCATGCACATGGGGCCACAACGGGCGCGACTCCTGGGTGCCTGGGTGTCGGGAGCGCGGCGCTTGGGCAAATTGCAGGAAATTCCAACGCAAGGCCATTCTTCAGTAAGTTGCAAGCAAGTCTCCAGCGAGAGCGCAACTCCAGAGCGCCGAGAGAGCGATTCCCTTATAAATTGTAAGGAAGTCCCAAGGGGAGCGCGATTCCTGAATAACATGCGAGGAAGTCTCGGGCGGGAGCGGGGGTCCTGGCTAAATTGTAAGGAAGTCTCAGGCGGGAGCCGTTGTTGTTGTTGTAACCAGGGGGCCAGGGGGCCAGTTTGAGCAGGAAGACTTTCCCTGTCAAAAAACAGGGTGCGAGCGTCGAGGGGTACACTTTGATTGAAAAAACAGCATGCACCGGTGAGGGGGGATCAACAAGAATTATTCTTCAGAAATGAAAGTTCGACGACAACAACAACAACAACAACAAGAACAACAACAACAACAACAACAACAACAACAACAACAACAACAACAACAACAACAACAACAACAACAACAACAGCAACACGAATAACAAGGACAACGACAACAACAAGCAACAGCAAAAACGTGGTGATGTTACCGGAACGCGAGAAGGGTCTTTTGTCGTTATCATCCTCTTCATCGTGGCACGCCCGCCCGACATGGGCACGGAAAAATCAGCACAATGCCCAGCAGCAAATGCCGTCCGAACTCGACAGCGGCCGCTGTGGGGGCTGGCGACCATTTTGCCTCAAGTGGACACCGCCCGCGGCGACACCGACATCGACTCCTGTTCCACGTGGACAAGAACTGCTGTCGGTATTCTCTCGGACGGGGCCAGGACGAGGATACATCCGTTCCAGGGCGTTCCCGTATGCTCTGCTCTCAGAGCGGTCCAGAACGCTCTGAGAAGGCCGCGGCGCCCGAGACATCCTCCAGAGCTGAGTATCGTTTAACCGATCCCCATCCCCGGCGGCGTGGCCTGGGCCCCACCGGCCGATCTACCCCCCCAGATAGGGACATGGGCCGCTCCCTTCGGGGTTCGAGGGGTGCATCCCCAGCTGGGGTGGCAGGCTGGTGGGGACCTCGAAGGGGATGGGGATGGGGATGGGGATGGGGATGGGGATGGGGATCGGTCAGACGACACCGAGCTGTCCTCGCCCTGGCTTCGTCTGACTCGCCCCCTCGCTGCCAGGTGGCCCTCCCGCTCGCGCCGCTCCTCGGCGGCGGCGGCGCTCGAGGAGGAGGAGGAGGAGGAGGAGGAGGAGGAGGAGGAGGAGGACCCCCCCCCCACACCGCGCGGAGCCTGGCGCCCGGCGGGCTGAGCCGCGAGGCGGCGGCGAGCCTGGAGCGCTGCGCCTGCCCGCGGCCCGCGGGGCCGCCCTCCCGGCGCCGCCGCCGCCGCCGCGTTTCGGCGCACGGCGGCCTCCACTGCGAGGCGGGAAGATGTCCAGACCAACCGCCTGGGGAACCGACGTCCACTGTCGCCACTTTCGAGGGCTGCAGGGGGGGTCCAGCATAGTGACGTCCTACGCAGATTCCAACATAGTGAGGTCCTACGCAGATTCAAATGGGACCTCGCCATCCCTCGGGGGCTGCGATCTGTGAAACAGTCGCCACTTTCGAGGGCTGCTGGGGGGGCGGTGGAGATGGTCAGGTTTCTGTTTGGCCCCAGGGAGCCCGAACCTGTCCGCATCCGCCGGCTGCCGGGGTCCCCAGAGATCGATCTCTCGGGCGGCGGTGAGGTAAGAAGTCCCGCCTCGGATGCATCCGCCTTCGCCCTCGTCCTTGAGCCACGGATCCACTATCGACCCAGGTCGACCACAGGCCCTGCCTGAAGGAGTAGAAGCCGCGCGCTCATCTGCAGGATAGTCGAACCTTCCTTGAGGCGCCCTTGTCATTCTCGCCTTCTGTCCCCACTTCCAAGCCGCCATCCTCGGACCCCGACGTCCTCCCGCGTCCGGCGCGCTCGGGACCTCCGTGTCCTCGTCGTCGTCGTTCGCCTCCTCGCTCGTCGTCGTCGCCGCCTCCGTCGTCCTGCTCTTCCTCCTCCTCCTCCTCCTCCTCCTCCTCCTGCAGCTCCTCCTCATCCTCCTCCTCCTCATCATCCTCCTGCTCCTCTATCCTCCTCCTCCTCTTCCTCCTCCTCCTCCTCTTCCTCTTCCTCCTCCTCAGCAGCAGCAACTTCATCATCATCCACATCATCATCATCATCATCATCATCAGCAGCAGCAGCATCATCATCATCAGCAGCAGCATCATCATCAGCACCATCATCATCATGATCATCCTCATCCTCATCATCATCATCATCATCATCATCATCATCATCATCATCATCATCATCATCATATTCATCATCATCATCATCATCATCATCATCATCAGCAGCAGCAGCAGCAGCAGCAGTATCAGCATCAGCATCAGCATCAGCATCGCCATCATCATCATCATGTTCGTCATCATCATCAGCGTCAGCATCATCATCAGCATCGTCATCACCATTACCACATCGATGTACAATTCTGAAACTTGAAATGTGCAACGGCCGTTTTCAAAATGCATCTCTCGCACAACCGCCGCGCACATGCGTCTTGAAAGCTTGCAACAGGTTCACGGCTTGAAGGGGGTCGTATACAACATCTGACTCTCGCCTTTGCGCCGCGAACATGTGTCTTTAAGATTTGCAGCACTTTCACGGAGGGAATGGGGGCGTTTTCAAAGTGGAGCTTGGCGCCGCGCACACTCATTTCAGAAACTTTCATATATGAAAGGCTGGAGGACGGCTCTGTTTCAAAATGGGTTTCTCGCTCAGCGCCACGCACAGACGTTTCAAACGTTTGCAGCAGCTTCAAGGATGGATGGAAATTCTTTGTCGAAATTGATATCTCGCCTTAGCGCTGCGCACATTCGTCTCAAAAGCTTGCAACAGTTACAGGAATTGCGGGCGAAGCCTTCTCAAAGTGAGGCTTTCGTTTGAGACCTCTTCGGGCTTAGACAGCAGGAGTTGAACAGATGCAACAGCTGCACGGATGGAAAGGCGGCTTCTGTTCAAAATGGTTGTTCGTTCAAAGTGGTTGTTCCGTTTGGGACTTCCTCGACGCTCACGGTTATAAGCGAAAACCCGTGCAAGAGTTACACAGATAGGGGCGGTCCTTTCCACAACTGGGACAGCGCTGGACACCTCTTTGAAATACATGATCATATATTTGCACATTCCATCTTACTCACTGGAAAGATGCATGACAGCCGGATATGTTTCAAAGAAGGGCGTTCGCCTGAAAGACAAATCCATAAAGTGCTAGTGGTTGACATGGGCACTTCTTGAAATAAAAAGGGCAGCTTGCAGGA